CTATGGACAGAAGCTCGGTGCTGCGGCTCATCCAGGAGCAGGTGCGCGCGAGCGGGGCGGAGAACCGGCCGCCGGCGGCGCCCCCGGCCCTCGACGCGACCTTGGCCCTGCGCCTGAGACCCCAGGGGAGCGGGGAGGGCAGGCGCCAAGCTCGGACCCAGGCTGGCCCTTCCGGGCGGGCAGGGCGATATGACGGGAGGACGCCCCTCCGGACGGCTGGGGCCGCCGAGCCGGGGGTGCTCGGCGTCGCCCCTCCCGCTGGCCCGGCCCAGCCCTGGGATGGGGGGCTGGGCCGGCGCTCAGGCCTCGGCCGGCCGGCCGCCCTGCTTCCAGCAGCTGGACCCGGAAAACACGGGCTTCATCGGCGCGGACACCTTCGCTGGCCTGGTACACAGCCATGAGCTGCCTCTGGACCCTGCCAAGCTGGACATGCTGGTGGCCCTGGCTCAGAGCAACGAGCGGGGCCAGGTCTGCTACCAGGAGCTGGTGGACCTGGTCAGTGCCCCGGGAGAAAGTGCCCGGGCGGAGGGAGGTGGCAGGGCTGCGGCACCGCACCTGGCCGGAGCGCGCGACCGAGCGGCCCGCCGGGGAGGCGTGCGGACCTGGGGGGCTGGGCGGCACGCAGGCAGGGGTCGGGGGCGCCCCGGCCCACGCTCGGCCCTGTCCCCAGGTCAGCAGCAAGCGCTCCAGCAGCTTCAAACGGGCCATCGCCAACGGCCAGCGGGCGCTGCCCCGGGACGGGCTGCCCGACGAGGCGGGCCTGGGTGTCTACAAGCGGTTAGTGCGCTACGTGGCTTACGAGATCCTGCCCTGCGAGGTGGACCGCCGCTGGTACTTCTACCGCCACCGCAGCTGCCCGCCCCCGGTGTTCATGGTCTCCGTCACCCTCGCCCAGGTGAGCGCCGCCCGCGGCCCGGCCGCCCGCGCCCAGCCTCGCCCCGCCTGACGCGCGTCTCCGCAGGTCATCGTGTTCCTGTGTTACGGGGCGCGGCTCAACAAGTGGGTGCTGCAGACCTACCACCCCGAGTACATGAAAAGCCCCTTGGTGTACCATCCCGGGCACCGCGCTCGGGCGTGGCGCTTCCTCACTTACATGTTCATGCACGTCGGGTGAGTGCGGGGCTTGGAGGCTCCACTCGGTCGGAGGCCGGCTCTGCACCAGCCCGCGGGGAGGGTGGGAGGCCCGGACACTGCCCGCCACGCCCCCACTCGCCACGCCCCTCGCGTCCACGCCCCTCACGCACGCTCCTCGCGCTGCAGCCTGGAGCAGCTGGGGTTCAACGCGCTCCTGCAGCTGATGATCGGGGTGCCCCTGGAGATGGTCCACGGCCTGCTCCGAATCAGTCTGCTCTACCTGGCCGGCGTGTTGGCAGGTGAGGCAGGTGTGCGCCCGCCCCCCACGACCCCGTCGTCAAGCCATTCCCTCACGGCCCTACCCCGCTCACACAGGCTCCTTGACTGTCTCCATCACCGACATGCGGGCCCCCGTGGTGGGTGGCTCCGGCGGAGTCTACGCCCTCTGCTCAGCTCACCTGGCCAACGTTGTGATGGTAATGGTGAAGCCGGGGATGGGGGGTGGAGGTGGGGTTGCGGGGACCTAGCGAGCACGGGATGGCCTGCCTCACGGCCTCTGTACCCCCAGAACTGGGCTGGGATGCGGTGTCCCTACAAACTGCTGAGAATGGTGCTGGCCCTGGTGTGCAGTGAGTAGAGGGCCGGGCGCGGTGAGGCGGGCGGGGACCCTAGCCTGCGGCCAGGGCGCCTCCCACAGCGCCTCCCACCTCCCCTGCAGTGAGCTCCGAGGTGGGCCGGGCTGTGTGGCTGCGCTTCTCGCCTCCGCTGCCCGCTTCCGGCCCACAGCCCAGCTTCATGGCACATCTGGCGGGCGCAGTGGTGGGCGTCAGCATGGGCCTGACCATCCTGCGTAGCTACGAGGAGCGCCTGGGTGACCAGTGCGGCTGGTGGGTGGTGCTCCTGGCATATGGCACCTTCCTGCTCTTCGCCATTTTCTGGAACATCTTTGCCTATGACCTGCTAGGCGCCCATGTGCCCCCGCCGCCCTGACCAGGCTGGGCTGGGTTTTGGGGTGCGTGTGACCGTCAGTGGGCTGCATGTCAACCCTGCGTGGACAGAGTCTCGAAGGTGTTTCTCCCCTGGGGGGCGGTTGGCCCTCCAAGGCCCCAGTGAGTCCGGGGCAAGCCTTACACCAACCCCAGCCGCCCCCTCCCAGGCCTGAGAGGGCAGCTCTGGGGAGGAAGTGGTGCCCAAGGGAGGCCCAGAGACCCTGCCCTTCTCCCTGGCCCCAGGACTTGCGGTCTGAGCCTTTTTGGAGAATGAATAAATATTTTACACAGGATTGATGACCATGCAGGGATCTGGGGCTCAGCTGGCCACCCCCATGCGCTAAGTGGACTGCAAGGAGCCTGGCCTGCCTTCCCACCCCGGCACCTCTCATGGGGCGGGGGTGCTATCCCCACAACAAAAAGGTGGGGTACCTGCCACCTGGGGAGGCAGCTGTGGCTTTACAGACAGGTGTGTGGTTGATGTGTGTGTATTCAACTCCAATGATACCTTCTTCTGCCTGATGAGCCCTGCCATTCAAACAGGTGGCATGGTGTCACCACTGTTAGCTGCACCAAAGCTGAGGCCAGGCACCAGGCCCGGCCATAGCCTCCACACACAACCTAGGTCCACAGCACTCGCAGGGGTGTCCCTGGGCCGGGAAGGAACAGGGAGCCTGCTCTGGACATCCCCACTCACCAGACAACCCTGCCTCCGGGACAGGCCACCACCAGACGGTGACTATGCTCAGCTGGGTGCCCTCTCACCTGCGGACACAGCAGGGCACATGCTACAGAGAACACAGTTCTGTGATTAGTTTTAGCGTATTAGGCAGGAGGTGGAAGACAGCAGCTGAACTGCATCACCAACTTGAGGGGTGGCCGCCACAAGCAGGCATGGCTGAAAGCGGCCCTTCCCGGGATGGCCAGACCTAGAGCGATTAGAGATGCACCTGGCCGGGGAAGCCCCGCCCCCAGAGAGTAGCCCCACCCCAGGAAGAGGCCCCGCCTCTCGGGGTTGCCCTCAGGAAACTCCGCCCCTCATCCTGGAAGCCCACCCCCATGCGGGAATCCTCACCACAAGTTTCCGTGCCAGCAGCCGTTCCACGTCGTCTCGCGTCAGGCCTTCCCTGCTCGGACCCCGATGGCCGTGGGCAGAGCCTCCCGATATCTGGGGAAGGGCGGTGATGGAGTTCGGGGCCACGGAGACCTCGCCCTTACCCGTCCTGTCCCCAAGTTCTCTGGAGGCCCGCGCGCGTCCGCAGCGCCTCCCAGTGATGCGCCAGGATGGCGGTCCAGCCGCTCCGGGTCCTCAAAGCCCTACAGACGGCGGCGGCCGCCATGTTCTTGCGCCAGGGCGGGGCTCGATGAGGGGGCGTGGCTTCTTGGGGGCGGGGCCTCCAGCCGACCTGGGAGAGCTGCTCACCCCGGTGGCCGAATGCGGAGAGCGACTGCACCAGAAGCCGGTTCTCTAGTGAACGCTCAGAGGGGCCGGGCCGGGCCTTCAGGGAGGAAGGTCCAAGGGCGGGGGACGGATAGAGGCCAGCGAAACCCAGGCATTCCCGGCGTCGGGGCCGTTGCTACGGGTTGGCCCTCCCGGCTAGCCCCGCCCCGCGGGCGCACGCACGGCCCCGCCTACTCACGTGCCCGCCAGCTGGCCCCGCCCCGCGCCGCCGGAAGTTCCGGTGGCCGATCGCTGGACCGGGCCCGAGCGGATCGCGGGCTCCGGCTGTGGCTTCGGGCTTGCGGGCGCAGGGTGGGCCGGGCGCGGAGCCCAGGCCTTGCCGCGCGGCGCCATGAAGGGCAAGGAGGAGAAGGAGGGTGGCGCGCGGTTGGGCGCCGGCGGCGGAAGCCCGGAGAAGAGCCCGAGCGCTCAGGAGCTCAAGGAGCAGGGCAACCGACTCTTCGTGGGCCGCAAGTACCCAGAGGCAGCGGCCTGCTACGGCCGCGCCATCGTGAGTGCGCGCGGGCCGGGGAGGGGGCAGGGCCCCGTCTGCAGCCCCGCGTTCTCCGGCCCGGCCACCCCGGCGGTCTGTGGATGTGAGGGCCTTGGCTTGGACCCGGGGGGACGTCACGGGCTCCGAGGGCCCGGTGATGATTTTGTTCCACGGGAGCCGAGGCCGTGTTTCTGCGCGCAGTGCTGGTTGTCCGACAAGTCTGGTGGGTGGGGCCGGGAGCTCAGGATATTTGCGGTGGCTCGCTTGGAGTCCCCGATCCCTTGTTCCTCGAGGCCTCCAGAGGTCTGGGAAACCCATCTGTACAGGATCCATTGGCAGCAAGGTTCAGCCAGGCTTCTGGGGCGAGTCCACCCTCAGGAGGTCCTGAGACCCAGGGGTTCTGACTGCTGCAAGTCTAGTTTCCTCGTGCCAGCCATGGGCACCAAAGCTGGGACTGCACCTGGGCCATTAGGGTGCCACCCTGTGGGGACTGAGGGCCCGGGCTGAGCTCACGCTGGCTGCTCCTGCCTTGGTCCTCAGACCCGGAATCCACTGGTGGCTGTGTACTACACCAACCGGGCATTGTGCTACCTGAAGATGCAGCAGCACGAGCAGGCGCTGGCTGACTGCCGGCGCGCCCTAGAGCTGGACGGGCAGTCCGTGAAGGCACACTTCTTCCTGGGGCAGTGCCAGCTGGAAATGGAGAGCTATGATGAGGCCATCGCCAACCTGCAGCGAGGTGCCCTGTGGGCACTGGGGGATGGGGGTGCTTGGCCTGGAGTGGCCAGCAGTGACCTGAAGTCTTCATCCTGCAGCCTACAACCTGGCCAAGGAGCAGCGGCTCAACTTTGGTGACGACATCCCCAGCGCGCTGCGCATAGCCAAGAAGAAACGCTGGAGCAACATGGAGGAACGGCGCATCCACCAGGAGAACGAGCTGCACTCCTACCTCACCCGCCTCATCGTGGCCGAGCGGGAGAGGTGGGCTGTGGCCAAGCGGCGCTGCCCCGCCCCCCCAGGCACTGAGTCGCAGTGGAGTCAGACACGGGTGTTTATTGGAGGCGAGGAGACAGGAGGCTGAGCGTTGGCCCTGAGAGTTGGAGTGGGGTCTGACTTCTCTTGGCCTGCCCCATCTGACCAGCTCCTGGTTGGTCCCCAGGGAGCTGGAAGAGTGTCAACGGAACCATGAGGGTGACAAGGATGATGGCCATGTCCGGGCCCAGCAGGCCTGCATTGAGGCCAAGCACGTGAGAGTGCCCCCAGTCCCCCGTTAGATCTGCGTGTGCACGTGGGGTGGGGAAATGGGGCTGTCTTGCCCCCACACAGCTGCTTGTTTGTTTGCAGGACAAATACCTGGCAGACATGGATGAGCTCTTCTCTCAGGTGGATGAGAAGAGAAAGGTGAGGCCAGTTTGTCCCCTGGGGCCTGTGGGTGATCCCTGTCCTGGTCCCTGATCCCTCCTGTGTGCTGCAGAAACGAGACATCCCTGACTACCTATGTGGCAAGATCAGCTTCGAGCTGATGCGGGAGCCTTGCATCACACCAAGTGGTATCACCTATGACCGCAAGGACATTGAGGAGCACCTGCAGGTGAGGCCGCAGCCAGCAGGGACAGGCACTCAGCCCGAGGCCCCACCAGGCCCCTCCTGATCCTGCTGTCCCTGCAGCGCGTGGGCCACTTTGACCCTGTGACGCGGAGCCCGCTGACCCAGGAGCAACTCATCCCCAACTTGGCCATGAAGGAGGTCATCGACGCATTCATCTCTGAGAATGGTTGGGTGGAGGACTACTGAGCTTGCACGTGCAGGGTGGCGCCCCGTCCCTGTACATAGTCTGTGGCCCCAGAACTCCCTCCTGCCCTGCCCCCCCTTCTGCTGTTGGCCTCTGGACTCCTCCTGCTCTCAGCATAGCCCTTGCCTGGGCATGAGCCTCCCCACCCCTCTTCTGGACCCAGTACAGCATAAGGGTGGGTTGGACTGAAGCCAACTCTGCTACCCCAACCCCTGGAATAAAACCTTTGAGCACTTCCAGGTGTGTGCTGGTGTGTGCAGAGGCTGGGCAGCAGCTAGCCCAGAAAGGTGGAGATGAAGACGCTGGTGTCCAGGTTGAGGGTGGCATGCCACCATCGATCAGGAAAATACAACACCTGGCAGGGAGAGGAAGGGGCTCAGGGCTTAGTTGAAAGCCAGAGCCCCACCCTGTTCCCACCCTCTCTGACAAACCACTGACCTCCCCAGGCTGGATGGTGCACTCCAGAGGCCGTGCAGAGGGTCCAAGGGTAGGGTACTTCTCCTGGAGCCAGGCCAGTGTGGTCTTGTTGGGGTGGAACTCGGGTGTCTTCTCAGGGGGGTACAAGAACCAGCGCTGGGGACAGGAGCAGCCAAGTCATGCCCATGTGGGGGGCCAGCGAGTGCCAGGCCTCCACTCCCAGCCTGTGCTGACCTTGCGGCCATAGATCACTTCTGAGAACCCGGGCCCGTGCCAGTGGAAGGGAACACCGGAGCCAGCTCCTGCAAAGTCAGGACAACCAGTGGCCATGCCTATCTGCCCACATGCCCCCCCACACACACACACCCAGGTCCCACACGAGTGCCCACCTGCGATTCCAAAGCTGAAAGCAGGGGTGGTGCCCAGCAAGCCAAACGGAGGTGGGGAGTAGTGGCGGAAAAGTGGTGCCCATTCAGTGAAGTTGTTGTCCCCAAAAAAGTACAGGGTATCTGTCAGCAGAGAGGACCCACGAGGGCTGAGATCGTGGTACCAGAGCCTCAAAAGTGTACCAAGGCCGCTGCCACTCCCCAGGGGTGGCTCACCATTTCCCAGGGAGGCCGGGTCCTGGGGACGCAGCAGCTGCTCCACATAACCTTGGAAGGGCATGTCCACTGCAAGAAAAGAACCTTCGGGTCTGCCCGGTCCTGCCCACGGAGGCTGGCAGGCTGGCTGGCTGGGCTGGGCTGGGCTGGGGTGCGGCAGCTCACCTTTCTGGTAGGAGAAGGTGTTGGCCGTACTCAGCCGGACCACGCTGTCCCCAAACAAGGCCAGGAGCTTTTCGCGAGAGCACAGGGCTCGGAACCTCTGGGGGGGCAGGGAGAACTTAGCGGCCCGGCACCGCACGAAGGGAGCTGCCCAGGGCGGCCGGCCGCGCACTCACCCAGTTGTCTGTGAGCCCCTGCAAGATGACGGGTCTGAAGAAGGCGTAGCTAAAAGGAAAGACAGAGTCAGGCCGGATTCGGCCTGCGCCCCAGGCCTTCCCTAGGCGTCCACGAGAGCGCGACAGGTGGCCCCAGGCTCACGAGCCAGCAGCACGGGGGTGACAAGAACGGTGAATGACGACGGAACTCAGAGAGCCCCGCTGTGAGGGGCGGGCGGGAGCACGTACCGCTGCACGAACTCGGCGTACGTAAGGTCGGCGCGACGCTCCACCGTGCAGCGCTGCTCCTCGGCCACGGATGCCGGCGGCCCCGGCCCGGCCCGCTGCCTGCGGGCACAGCCGGGTCAGCGTTGCGCCCCCGCTGCTGCCCCGCGTCCCCCACCCCAGCCTGCGCCGCTCACCACCCCCCGTCGCCCACCGGCCCGGGACTGGGCCTCCCCGGAGCCGGCAGCGTCCACAGCACCAGCAGGAGGAGCGGGCGCGGCGCTCTCGCCATGATCGGCTTGGCGCCACCAGTGTAGTGCCCGCCGCCGCGAGGCCCGCCGGGAAGCCTCTCACCGCACTACATGCGAACCCACCATTGGCTGAAAAACCCATCGTCGTGGCAACGGGCGTGCGCAGCGCAGCTCCCGGAAGTGCCTGAATCGGCCGGCTCCGCCCCCCGGAGGCGGAGCGAAGGCCGCGCGTAGGTCCCACGAGCTCTGGGCAGTTTCCATGGCGACTCAGCCACCGGAAGAAAACCCCGCCCACCACTTGGCGCGAGGAAAGGGCAACAAGAGCTGGACAGCGGCTCCCGCTTGCTTTATTTGGTTCACACGTTCCAGTCCCCTCCTCCTGGGCACAAAGTCTGGGCAACAGGCGTCGACGCAGGCGCGGCCGGCGTCCCGAGGCCCGTGTCAGGAGTACTCGCAGAGGTGGCCGCAGCCGGCGGGGCAGTGCGAGCTGCCCTCCAGCCACTTCATAATGTGCTGCAGGTGGCCGCCGTGGCTGCAGCCCTGGCACCACACAAACAGGCCTTTGACCACGTGGTGGCAGACGGCGCACATGCTGGCGCAGCGGTGGCACCTGCAGGCGAAAGGCTTCGTCAGCGGGCTGCAGGGGGCTGACGGGGCCCACCGCCCCTGCGGCCGCAGCACCGCCCCCGCGGCCCACCTGCCGCAGACCCAGCCCCGGCCGCTCATGGGCCGCTTGCAGTGGCTGCAGTTGACATGCAGGGACGTGGAGGCCTGGTTGAGGCAGCTGATGGCACGGCTGGTGCTCAGCTTGACCACCTCGTTGGACACGTTCCAGAGGCGGAAGCGCTGCAGCAGGTCGATGTAGGACGTGTACCAGTGCTCCTGGCGGGGCAGGGAGAGGCAGGAAGGTCAGGACCCACGCAGGCCCCCGTGCACCGGAAGGACGGGGCACGCTGCATGCACACCTGGGCCTGCTCGTCTATGTCCTTGCGCACGCGCTCCCCTAGTGCGATGAGCACGGACACAGCCATCTGCACATCGCCCTGCTCGGCGTAGAAGTGCAGCATGTCGCGCACTAGTGCGCTGAAGAAGTCCGGCGGCAAGCGGCTGTCGTAGAGTGCGTGTGAGACAGAGACCAGCGAGAAGGACGAGTCCACGGGCGCCAGCGATGCTGCGTCCGCCTCATTGCCGCTCACGTGTGGCGAGTCAGCCTTGTCCTGCAGGTGCTCGGCCCCCGGCGGCGTGTCCACGATTTCGTGACGCAGCGGGAAAGCCTCCTGCGGCAGCACGTACTCTGGCTCCTCAGCTGCGGG